ATCGAAATTGATTGATTTGCTGTAAGATAATGTTCTTGTAACGATAACCGAACTCTCGATTTCTTTCATAGCGATAACAGTTCTTTTTTCAATCTACAAGTTAATTTGTGTCCCCCCACCCCCTCTCTCTCTCTCGCTCTTTCTTATAGTTACGTAACGTTGTTCAGCACTTATTTGCCAATTGTGAGCAGAGTTAGTCTAAACTTTTGATTTGTACTACTTTGGTATTTTTGCTCTTGGGAAAAATAATTTATTATATTGCTACGTTTTTTGTTTCCTCGTTTTTTTCTGACTGATATGAGAATAATAAAAAAAAAAGTAGAACCACAAAATTGACGCAAGTGTTTGTTTTTTTTTTTACTATCAAGTCTACGTAATTGCCAGAAAAAAACCTCATATCTGGCCATGACCATAATTTGATAAGGGAGAGCAGATAAAACGAGCTATGTTATTAAAACATTCACATATCATGTTATTATGCAACAGACACCCAGACACAACTCGACATATTTTGAATTTGATTCTGTTTTTTTTTTTTATCTCAGACAATAGACGAATTCAGATGAAAACGAAAGCGAAAAACTATCTGAGCTTGTTGGAAAATATGACATCATACGTAATTAGTTACAGACAGGGGGAAAAAAAATATAGCACAATAAACATATAACACTTCAATTATGTGTAATATATCCTGGCATATTGTTGATCAACTGCAAAAATTACTTTAGGATCGGTTAAGAATGGCCGACTGAGATTAGCAAGCCTTCAATGCTCGAGAACATTCGAGCTAGTTAAATATTTGACCATTGAATAGCCATAAAATCATGAATTGCTTTTAGCAAAAATATATAAAAATTCCCAACTCTCAATATGAGAAAGTCACCCACTTTGTTTCCTTGTTTTATTTTGTTTTTTTTTTTTTTTGTGCCAGGCACAGCGGTAATCATAATTATCATTGGTCACCTAATCATCTAATCGTAACGCTTGCTGCCCCGATAAGATTCCAGGCAATAATGCGCGTAGGAGTGCTGGGGATGGGGGGAATCGGTAATACCAAGCGGTAACTGTTGCCTAATCACACGAGGCTGCTATAAACTAATGATAAAAATAAATATAATAATACTGACATCGTACGTTTTGCAGTAAATGGTCAACTGATTGCGGCAAGGACAGGCGGACAGGGAGAGGGGTGCTATTGGTTGTTCCCATGGCACAGTTTAGCCCTGAAACTTGACAATCGAAACTTGTGACAGCGATTCGAGGCCCGATCGCTCGAGTTTCTTGCTGGGGAATGTCTACTTTTGCTTTTAAATCATGTGCAATGTGTTCTTACATATCTACAAGGCATGCACTCTATTTCGAGCCACGAGTGTAAAGCTGACCTGAGCTTAGCTCGGCCAGAGCTTTACTAGCTAAATTAGGCTTGACTTGGATAAGTTGTACACTAGTGTCCAGAAATATGTAGTATACCACAAATAATTCTAGACTTTTCGAAAAAAATACAAATGTGGCAGATTAAGAAAAAAGGTTGGATTTCGTAGGAAATCGAATGATGTTTGAATTAATTAAAATTGAAAATTTAAATCTGAGGTAAATCAGCAATCGGTCGGATATGTATATATATATATATCCGATTATACATCTGCATATATTTATCAACTCATTTCCAATTAGCGAATTGTTTTTATTCCAATCACCCAATTGGCATTTTATTGCGCTCACATTATTTCCAATTAATGTCACATATTTGTATATATATGTAGACATAAAAATTCAATTGCTTAATAACTTTTCTTAAATATCCAAGCACATAAGTTTAAGTGTGAATAGATATTGACACAGCTTTGACAAAGCTATGGCATTGGAAAACTTGGAATTTTATTCAAGTAGTTTGTTTTTAAAGAGCATTCTTCGACAAGTTGTTGCCTTTAAAAACCAGCACAGTTTTGTCAATGTTAGTTAGTTTTGATACTATAACTTAGGATATCTTTAGACTTTTAGGCTGATATTGAAATCAATAGTGAAATGCTGTTTAGGAAAGTCGAAGAAAATTGTTAAAGCATACTTTTAGGAGAATTGTTTTCTGAAAAACCAAACTTATACTTGACTGACTATATTCTTACAGGGTTCTGAAGAATAGATTGCGTTGGTTGCGATTGGCACATAAGATCAACAAGGAACCCAAAATATTATTTTAATATGGGCATCTAGGATTGATATATCCTTCGATTATAGATATTAATATTAATAAATATATGAATATACCTCGACTTCTTTTCAGATTGCAAACTTTCTTTTATTTGTAGAAAAGTTGGCTCTAACTCAGCATTAATCTTACAGATTTTCGGCAACAAGGCGCGTTGGAACCGTAAGGACCTCCGTCAAGGATTATAGATTCATCCAAAACACTGAAAAACTTCAATCATTTGGCAGCAAGTCAAAATCGTACGCAATAAAATGTTGTTTTTTTTTTATATAATATATATAAGTTTTTCTAGGGTTTTATTTCCTTAATAAATTGTTTTTTTTTTTTTAGAGAAATTCGAAAACATCGTAATTTTGTTTGTTTTTGTTTTTCTGTTTTTCTGTATATATATTTTTTTTTTGTTTTTTTTTTAAAAATGCACGCAATGGAAGTTCCGAGCGCTTATAACCAAATTTAATATATATATATATATATATATATATATAATTTTTGCAATGAAATAATGCATTTTTCACTCACATAATTGTGTATATGCTAAAATAGATGAACTACTGAACGATATTTCAGTCAATGGAGCACAAAAATGTCTATAATTAAAATAGAATGAATGTAAAGAATATAATTATATATTTATTTTTACACATTTCTCGTTTACTTTTCTGTTTTCTTGTTTTCTATCTCTGAATTTTGTTTGAAGTTCCTGTCCAGCAGATGTTCAAAGCGAATATAGAACTAATAATTAAATAAATATACATATATATATATATATACACATATATTTATTTATTTATTGATTGATTGTTGTTGTTGTTGTTTGGTGAATTCTTGATGGAATCACAATGCACAATGAGGTTGAATTGCTTTTGCTTTTGTTATATTTTTGTTTGCGTAATGTTCATATCTAAATATATGTTTGTATTTCTATATGTATCTCACATAATTACCAAAAATATTTATGTATATATACATATATATATATAGATCTTCGTGTTTGACATATGCATTTCGAATACATTTACTCTTCAATGCTTTCAATTGTATTATTTTTGAATGGATCCGAATTTAATACCAATTCTATAAAGTTTTATGTTTTATGCATTTGTATATGGATATGTTTTATTTTGTTTTTTATAAATGTTTTTTTTTTTTTTTTTGTAAATGGTTCGCTTTTGGATTGTGTCGCATTATTTTTGGAATGGAATTTTAATATTTTTGAACTCAAATAGTTAAGAAACTTTTGGTTTTTCAACATTTTTGTTTTTTTGTTTTGTTTTTGGTAGTATAAAAAAGTTGTGTACAAAAAGTTTGGTTTTCCTCAAGTCTTTCAAAATTCTGGACTGCAAAAAAAAAAAGAAAAATAAAAAATAGACTAAGAAAAAGAAGATTAACCAAAATGGTATGTGCTAAAAAAGTGTTAAGGATAGCTCTCAACATGCCCACGCTTACCCACAAGTTATATAAGTATTTAGTATATAGTATACATAATATTTATGAATTGTATAATATTATATATTTATAGTTATTAAATGTATGCCTTTCTCATATATATATATATATATATATATATATGCATATTTAATATTTCTTCTTTTTTTTTTTATATTATTTAATTATTTTGCTTATTTCTTTGCTTTCATTGTCTGTGTCTGTTTATTTTTATTTTGTTTATTCTTTTTTGCATTTCATTTTATTTTATTTTGGTTTTTTTGTTTTTTTTATATATTTTTTTCTGTTTAAATTTTATTTTAAATATCACGGCATTCAGCTGAGGTCTGATCTGATCTATGTATTGTTTTATGTTTTTTTTTGTTTTTTGTTTTTTTGTTGCACATTTCTTTTAGTTTTCACACTCTTTGCTTATTGCATTTTTTATGGCTTTTTGCTATGCGTTTTGTTAACAATTATTCATATGATGATAAAAAAAATAAAATAAATTGAGAAAAAAACAACTAAACGAATCTAATTGAACTAAGTAATGCTTTTGTAAAATGAAATGACATTGGCTTCATGTGACACTTAAGCTTAAGATTAATCAAACGCTTTCGAGCTTCAAGCATTTTTCATTCAAATAAGTTTTTTTTAGGTTAAAGTGAACTTAATACTTAAAAGCGTTCAAGAACTTTTAAAGCTCGGCATAAAGCTTTGATGAGCTTTTCAATTTAGTTTAGGCGCATAGTGTTGTGAAAAACAAGTGAATACAAGTAAATACAGATATATATGAATCCACAGCATTAATTTTGTAAAGCTCCTGATTCAAAGTGACTGGAAAGCTTTAATTTCAAACAGACGTTGCTTGTTGGGGGAAACACAGCAAGCTGCATGCAGCCTTATAACAAATATAAAAATTGCATGTGTTCGCATCACTGGAAGAGCTTTAAGTTGTTAACTGTTTGGTTGTAAACTGTGTCTTGAATGGTTAGTGTTGCGAAACAAACAAGTGCACATAAATCGCTGCATGCAGTGTTGCAAGAGTTGCTGGATCTCAGCTCGGAAAGCTTTCCCAGTGAGTTGAGCTTAATATTTATTTGGCTCATACATTTTGGGAACTGTGGATGGTATTTACTTAAAGATGATGTCTCCATCAAATTGTGCATCATAAAAATTGTTGCTTTTCATAGTTGCTTTTGGTGTTTAACACTTTCATTTTGAGCTTGTAAAAGTGCCTAATTTGTGGCATTTACTTTTGTTGTGAGCTTGATCAAGTGTTTTGCTGCGGAAACTAGCCAAAGTAGACAAACTAGCTCGGATTAATCGTAAGCTTAAGTGTCATTTGGAGCACACGTGTCATTTGTACTTAAAATATATATATGTGTATTTAGAGAAAATAATGATAAGACAAGCACCTTACTAAATTGGTAATGGGGGATAGGATTTCAAGTAGGGGCCATGATAGGAATTAAGAAAGCTTCATTTCAATCTTTTCTTCTTTTTTTTTTGTTGTTTTTTTTTTAGTTTTTTTTTTTTTAAGGGTAATCGTCACCAGCAATTGTTGTCGCCGTTTTCGGATTGAAAAGCTGCGCGTAAATGCGACGCAGTTTCAGAAATGGCGCCACCGGTGGCAACTGGATTAATTCTCACAAGCTTTGCATGCCAGCTGTGGCAGCTGAATCAGGACACTCGGTGATATCGGGTTCGATGTCGGTGCCATCGGTGCTATCATCGGCATAGCCATCGATTGCTGTGACGACGGCAGCGCTCTCGCTGAAATGCATTAGATTCGTTTCCATTAAACCGTTCGTTAGGCTAAGCGGCGGCGACGACTGCGACGGCGGCCCCTCCAAGGAGAGGCGACTGTTTGTGCTGATGCTGCTCAAGCTGAGCTGATCGTCGAAACAATCGATATTCACCACTGTTGCAAGTTCACCATCAATGCCCACAGCGGCTGTGTTGCTCTGCGGCAGCTGTGGCAACTGTGGCAATACAACGGCTTGCGGATAACAGGATAGTTTTGCTGCTGCTGCTGCTGCTGCTGCTGCTGTTGTTGTTGGTGGAGTGCTGCTCATCGGCACATCCTTGTGCTCCTTCAGTGGCTGCTGCCGGGCATGGGAATTGGGATCGGGATTGCGATTATTGCTGCGATTATTGTTGGGCTTAATCGGCTTGCTGCTGCCAACCTTACTGGCCGTGGTCTTATTGTTAATATTGTTGTTGTTAGGCAGTCCATCCATTTGATCAATGCCAAAGAATTTGCCTGTTGAAAGTATAGCAAAATAAAACAAATTTAAATAAAAGTTTTAAGTTTTAAGGCGAGAATACATAAAATATGAAATTAAATGCATTTTTGTGTTTAGATCCCAAAAATGTTGATTTTGCTTAATTTTGTGGAAATGCTTTTAAAGTTTTTTTTTTTTAAACTTAATTTGAATTTATATAATCTTTTGTTGGCCAATAGGAACGAAAACATTGCATGGTAGTTTTAACTAAAATTGCATTTATTTAATTATACATTTAATATATTAAATTAAATTTTATATTTAATTGTTTTTTGTTTTTGTTTTTGTTTTTCGTCAATATTTTTGCTTTCTCATCAGTTGAAAATGATAAATACTGCAAGTTATATGTACAGAACATTTTATTTTACTTTCTTTTATTTTTCTTTCTTTACATTGTATTTCAAGAACTTTGCCAAAGGTTTTAACCATTACAAATTTAATATTCTAACAATAAAAAGACAAAAAATATATATATATATTTGTATATTTAAACTATTGTAAATCGTTTCGGTTTAAATAAATTAAGACAACAAAAATAAGATACAGACAATAAAAAAAAAATAAAATAATGAAAAGCAAAGCGGCAAAAATTGTCAAAAGTATTTTTGGGTTTTTGTTTTTTGTTCTTTTTTTTTGTTGTTTTGTTTTGAGAGCGTTTTGGTGCAGGTTTTGTTGTGTTGGGGTCTGGCATTATCAAAAAAAAAAACTTAACGAAACTTAACGAAAGCAGGTCCTAAGTTCGATGCAGTTGGAGCAGCGAGCAGCTTTTGATTGGCACTCGCATTGCTCTCATTTGCTCTCAACAAGCTCAGTGCTCAATTTACGATCGCACATACTGCGAATAGAAGAGCAGAGCAGAGGAGAGGAGAGCAGAGCAGAGGAGAGCAGTGAAGAGAGCGAAGAGAGCTTTAGCTGATGCTGTAACAATTACACTGAGCTTTTACAACGATTGTGGCTTTGGACAGTATTTATTTATTTATTTATTTTTTCCTATTTTGTGTTTATTTTCGTTTTATATATGTATGCAGAGCTTTAAGGGAAAGGTGTTGATCAGTATATGTGTGTGTGTGTGTGTGTGTGTGTGTGTGAGCAATCAATTGTTATTTGTTTTTTTTCTTATTTTTTTTACAATTTGTATTTTCATGTCAAATATTCCTTTTATATACATATTAAAAATTAGAGCTTTTTGGGTTTTTTTTTTTCCTTTTTTCTTGTAATTTGTTGCATAATTCTTTTATTTATTTATATTAATTGGTGTTTATATATTTGTTGAGTTTTTTTTTATCGCTAATAATATAACTTTTGCACTTAAAAATGGTTAGATTTATTTATATATATAATTTTTTATTTTTTTTTGCATTTTTTTAAGTTAAACCGAATTGCTTTATACGCTTTTTGTTTTGGTTTTTTGTTGTTTTTTGTTTTTTTTTTTTGTCAGTAATCACATTGTTTTTTTTTATATAAACTTTTTTTTGTTTTCTTTTATATTTTTTTCCTTTTATTTTTTTGTTGCACACTATTTGAAATTGGGCTGTGTATGTTTTGTAGAGAGATAGAGGGAGGCAGACACACAGAGAGAGAGAGAGAGAGGGTCTTTATAAGTGTGAGCTTTTTGCTGAGAAAGTTGCCGTTATTCTTTCTATCTTTCTTTCTTTTCCTTTACAGTGGTTGCTCGGCAAGGGAAACTGCCCGAATTTCGAAATGTTTACCAATTAGAATTGTAAAATGCAAAGCATTTTCAACTTATTTGTTTGCTTTTTTGTTTTGTATATCAAATACGAATTATAAATGAATAAATGTTTAATATTATCTCTCAACTATTGTATTAGAAACGTCATTTTCTGGGCATGGAACCAAAAACAGCAAACAAAACTAACGAATTGAACTTGCAACCAGAATCGGAAACAATATTCGATTCGATTCGGTGTGATTGCATAGTTTTAATTTATATATATTCTGCTTAAAGTTGCAATGTTTTTTGTTTTTTTTTTGTTGTTTCAATTTTGACAAATTCTTTGCAATGGATTTTTGAATATATATATATATATATATATATATATATATATATATATATATATATATATATATATGTATATATATATTTGCTTAAAAAAAGGAGAGTTAATGCTGCAAGCAACCACCGTAGAATTATTACTGTTGTTGTTGTGTGTTGTTGTTGTGTGTTGTTGTTGTTGTTGAATGCGAATGTTTGTTGCACTATTGGGCGCCTTTGGGCAGCAATTGTTGCTCATCCGGCAGCGGCAATTGTTGCTCCTGTTGCAGTTGCTGTTGTTGCTGCTCCTGTTGCTGCTGCTGCGACGCGGATCTTTCCGGATTGTTGCCTGCCGCCGGATTGGCGTATAAATGCCAGAGCACCACAAGACTGAACACGCACAACAAACATATTGCTAATTCTTATCTCTTGCGACGCTTCGTCTTCTTCTTCGTGCCACTCGGCTGTACCGCAACGCCAACGCCCATGTTCAAACTTAATGTGGGCGCGGCCAGCGGCAAATGTTGTTGCAGCTGCTGCTGCTGTTGTTGCTGCTGCTGTTGTGTGGCAGTTGTTGTTGTTGCTAATCCTGCTCCCGCTGCTGCTGCTGCTGCTGCTGCAGATGTTGTTGCTGCTGTTGCAGCGCCCGTTGCCACTGTTGTCATTGCTGTTGTTGTTGTCTCAACGCTGCTGTCCTCGGCAGAGCTGTTGGACGTCGACGATGAGGAGGTGGCCGCCTCAATGGCTGCAATCAAATTGATTTTATGTTCGAGCTTTTTCGTCTTTAGTTTCGAGTGAATATTGCTGCTGCTGTTGCTGCTGTTGTTGTTGTGGTTGTTGTTGTTGTTGCTGCAGTTGTTGTTGCTGCTGTTGCTGCTGCTGCTGCCGCCCGGATAATGCATCTTATCGTCTGATGTTGTTGTCGCTGTTGTTGTTGCTGTCGCTGTTGTTGTCGTCGTTGGCATGGCACCCTCGCTGTCTGTGGTTGTGCCACCAGTGCTGCTCCTGCCAAAATGCAGCAAATCCTTGGGCAGTGCAACAGTACGTGGAACATTCTTCCGATCATCATCATCATCGTCATCGTCATCGTCATCGTCATCATCGTCGTCATCATCATCGTCATCATCAGCCTGATCCCGATCGTCGTCATCATCGTCATCCTGATCCCGCTCATCATCATCATCGTCGTCATCATCATCATCAGCGTCATCGTCATCATTATCATTATCAATGTCAATGTTGTCGTCATCCTTGTCTTGATTTAGAGCTGCATCCTCCTGCTGCTGTGAATCACACATGCTGATGCTGATCAAAGGACGCAGCTCCTCATCATCCTCAACCTGAGCAGCAGCAGCAGCAGCCGCAGCAGCCGCAGCAGATCCTGATTTCTTAATCGGTCTCTTGTGCTTTTTGCTTAGCTTTTTGGGCTCATCCTGCATGATCAGCAGCTCCTCGGAACCGGATGAGTTATTTGAGCTGCACAGCGATTTGTGGCGACTGTCAACAGTAGCAGTAGCAGCAGCAGCTGCTGCTGATGTTGATTTCTCGGCCAGCAGCTGCTCGGCATATTCATGCTCATAGTGCAGGGAGCCGCACAGCGCCAGGATCAGATTCTGTTCGGTGAAGCCGCGCGGCGGCGGCGTTATCTTCCTCGGCATTGAAGCATTCTCCTGCACAGGACTCTCGAAATTGATGAGACTCCGCTCGCCACTGCTGCTCGTTATTTTATCGGGTACCTGGAGCGGTTCGAGTGCCGGCAGCGGCGCCAACGTTTCCAGCGGCTCCAGTGTACCCAGCAGGAAATCATCAAATGGTGACTCTTTTTTCGCACGCGAATGATGATCCTTGAGCGGCGCCAACGTTAGCTCCTTGCGACTTCCCAGACTGCCCAGACTGGGAAAATCGATTGTGGTTGCCGTTGTTGTTTTTGTGGTTTGCGGTTTTTCGGGCATTTTCCAGGCGCTGCTGGTTGGCGTTAGATCCAGCACTTTGACCTGGTAGCTGGTTGGTGGTTGGGTTGTTGCTTGGTTGGCGGCTCTGCTCTTGTTTTGATTGAGTTTGAGTGGTTTTGACGGCGACAACGGTGACGACGACTCCTTTTGCTCCTGCTGCTGTTGCTGCTGCTGCTTCTGTTCCTTCAGCTGCTGCTGCTGCTTCTGTTCCTTCAGCTGCTGCTGCTGCTTCTGCTCCTTCAGCAGCTGCTGCTGTCTCTGCTCCTTCAGCTGCTGTTCCTGCTTCTGCTCCTTCTGCAGCTGCTGCTCGTTGGTTTCCACTTGCAGATTGAGTCCTTGTGCACTGGCGCTGCTTATCATCACCGCTGCAATGGCATCCTTTTTAGCCAGCAGTTGATCGGCTGCATCGCGCTCATCTTGCTCCCGTTCTTGCTCATGCTCCGAGTCGGTATCTTGTTCCCGTTCCCTTTTTCGTTCCCTATCGGCTTCCTCCTCCTCCTCCTGGCCCTTTTTCGGTTTGTGCTCCTGCTGCTCTTGCTCTAGCTCCTGTTCTCGCTTGAGCGTCTGCTCCCTTTGCAGTTCCACTTCCTTTTCCTGCTTCAGCTGCAGCTCCTTTTTCAGCTTTCTCAGCTTTTGCTCCCTCTCCCTCTCGCGCTCCCTTTCCCGCTCCTGCTCCAGCTCCTTCTCTTTTAGCTCTTCCTCCTCTTTCTGCTCCAGTTCCGCTTTCAGCAGTTCCTCCGCTCGCTTCAGCTCCACTTGCTCTCTCTCCTTCTCCTTTTCCCGCTCCCGCTCCCTCTCCCTCTCCATCTCCTGCTGCTTTTTGTCTTTTTTATTAGCCATCTTCAGCATCTGCTGCTGCTGCTGCTGTTGTTGCTGTTGTGCTGCTGCTGCTTTATTTGCCTTGTGCTTGGCCGCTTTGGACTTTTTATTGCTTGTTGTTGTTGTTATTGCTGTTGTTGTCGTTGTTGCTTTTAGCGACAGCGTGGAGCTTATCGATGTCTGCAGCTCATCATCGAGCAGCGTTTCATCCTCGCTACTGGCAGTTGTTGTTGTTGTTGGTATTTGTGTTTGTTGTGTTGTTGCTGGCTTGGCAGTTGTTGTCATCGTTGCTGTTGTTGTTGGTGTTGCTGCTGTTGATGTTGCTGCTGCTGCTGCTGCTGTTGCAATTGGCTTATTGAGATGCGAGAGCTGAGCAAAGCGCAATGCTTGCGCCGCATCCTCGGCAGCTGCTTGAGATTTCAATGATTTCTGTCTCTTCTCCTTTTGGGTGATTACCTCATCCACCTCCTTGGCTATGACGGGCACAATCAGCTTATTGACCAGCACCACTGGCGGTTTATTGTGCTCATCGCGCTGCTTCTGCTGCTGTTGCTGCTGCTGCTGCTGCTGATGTTCACCGCCAGCAGCATTCTGCTGTTCGCGCTGCAATTGCAGCTCATGTTTCCGCTGCTCGGCGAGCTCATCACAAAAGATGGCGACAACCGGCCGAAATAGGGCCTCATCGCAATTCTCATGGATGACACAATCCTCGGCAGCCAGCTGACCCACAACCTCATCCAGCATATCCGTTTGCAGCTCACCACTGATGCCGGCATGTACATCGGTCACCGTGCCCAACGGATTCACAATTTTCTCAATGCGTGGCGTTGTTGAACCCGCTGCTGTTGCCATTGCTGCCGTTGCTGTTTTATTGCCGCTTGTTGTTGCAGTCAGCTCATAGCTGCATATATTAGGCAGGACACTGGCCAACGCGGCCAAAGCGGCAGCACTGTGTGGATGCTGTTGCTGCTGCTGCTGCTGCTCCTCATCCGCTTCGTGCTCGGCCAGAGCATCATAGTAGCAGGTATTGTCGCAAGCAGCTGCTGTTGTTGCTGTTGTTGATGTTGCTGCTGTGGTTGTTGATGTTGCTACTGTTGCTGCTGTCGCAGTGCAGCTGCTGGCAGCACCAACAGTTGCTATCGTTTCGGTAGCAACATCCGCGGTGCGCTGAACAAAGCAGCCAGCTGGTTGGTTTGGTGGTGGTGGTGGTGGTGGCACAAGAGGAAGGATTGGTGTATTGGAGGCACATTCGTATTCGTCGCACAGAGAACAGAGAAGAGAAGAGAAGAGAAAACAAATTTGTATGAGAAAAGCGCATTTGCCAAAGATTTGCATTTGAATTCAACTCATTTCTGTTTTTCTTTTCTTTTTTTTTTTAAATTTACATTTTTTTTTTGCTTTTTTTTTTTTAGCACTTTAGTAAGCGTAAAAAAAGTAACTGCAACTGTTATATGCATAAGTAGCAAGAACAAAAATTAGGCTTAAATGCAAAACGCAACATAACCAACATTTTTTTTTTGCAATTTATTTTATTTTATTTTTATTTTTTTTGTTTAGTGAAAAATGTTTTTGCGACTAAAATATTTTTACATTTTTTTTACATTACACAAAAGTGTTTTTTTTTTTTTTTGCATTTTGAGTGAGTTTTTTTTAAAAAGGTTAAAAGTAAAAGCACTTTTCATAAACATTTTAAAATCAAAACGAAACAGCAATATAATATAAAATTATTGAAAAAAAAAAATGGAATTTCGTATTTAGAACGATTTTTTTTTTTTTAATTTTTAATATTTCTTTTCTTTCAAAGTTTATTTAAACGAAATTATATGGCTTTGGCTTTTTAGACAAGAATTCATGTAGATTTCATGTGCTCTTTCTTCTCAACTGTTCTCTGTCTCTTTCTCTTTCTCTCCCTCTCTTTCTCTCTCGCTCGCTCTCTCTCTCTCTCGCTCTCTGTTTCTCTCTCACTGTTTCACTCGCACTCGTTGATTGCAATTTTTTCAAATTTTGCGTTTTTTTTTTTTTCATTTTGACAAAATTTTGTAACTCGACAAAAGCATAAAACAAGGGGAAAAGCCCAGTAAAAGTGAAGCGGTAAAGCAGGAGAATTAGTTGGAGAAGAAGCTAAAGAGGAAGAAGACCATGATGATAAAGAAGAAAAAGAAGAAGTGGCAGAAGAAGAAGAAGAAGCAGTGGGCACAAAATGAACAAGCTTCACCAGTTAGTTTTGCAAGGATTTGTTAAGGGGTATTTAAGAAATGGGCGTGGTAAATGCGAATGGTTGCTGAAAGAGAAGTCGGCCATTATTTTTGTGATGTACATTTTTAGAGGTTCGCGTCTCTATATGGGCTGCTATGGAGTAGTGAAACAGATTTCAAAAAAGATTGGGGGAGTCGCCAAAAAGTAGAGCTCTAATCGATCAAAAAAGAAGGTCAACGGAAATAGTGCAAAGAGAAGCCAATTTATGTGTGCGTGTGTGTAAGGGTGTGTGTGTGTGTGTGTGTGACTGCTTTGCTTTTGGTGAAAGAAAGTTGATAAAATTCAAATGTTTATTTTTGGTTTTGCTGTGATAGAAAAATTGTTGGTTAGCTTAAATTTAGTACATATTTTAGAATATAGAATTAATTGTGAATATATCGGGCAGATAAGATATATATATATAATATATATATATATATATGTCAGTTGTCTGATTCTAAGCACAATATATATATATGTACACCAAAACACCGCAATGAAGAATAATAAACGGGAAAGAAGAAGAGCAAGAAGAAGTTTTGACCAAAATTGAAGAAGTTGCGCGAAAGAAAGAAGCACAAGCAACACACACACACATACAGAATGAGTGAGAAGACTGATGATAATGATGACGAGAAGGGTGGGTGGGTTGGGGAGGTAATGAATAGAAATCACTGCGATTGCCGCCCATTTAAATACACATAAAACTTAAGAGAACCAATGCCAATTTCGTGGTGTTTTTCAAAAATTTCGATTTCACCAACATTTTCAATTCAACATTTTCCATAAAGCGTTCAAATTACAAAACGATTTGGTTTAATAAAAACAAACAACACAAAAAAAAAGCGAAAAAACAAAACTAATCTTAATAAAAAAAAATTATTAATAAATAGTAATGATAACGAATAAATCGGAAACGAAAACAAAATTCAAACCAGGCATCAAAAGCAAAGATGCCTTTTAAGAACAGTTCACAAAGTTTTTGAACATTTAATGATAACAATAATAATTAATATTAATCGATTAGCAAATTGTTCAAACGTGATTCATATTTGAAATTTGAATATGCAATAAATATATATATATATATTTTCTATACAAGGATCAAGTATATCGAAGTGAAAATCATGCGAGTCATTAAACTAATTGGAAGGTTAAATATTATATAGCAATAGTTGGCTACCAGTTGGCAGCAGGTGATTAAGTTTGAAACACACACTTTGAATATTATACAAATTGAGGTTTAGTTTATAGTTTCTTTTATCTCTCTCTGAATAGATAGATAGATTTTTGCAATTGAATCACGTCTAAACACAATTTTATATATACGGTATATGAAAAGAGTAGTTTCAGTTTGAATCTGTTTGGCTAACTCTTTCAGTAGAGACTTACCCGTCTCGCGACGTGCTGCTGCCGTTGATGGCGACTCGCGCATGGCATCGGCCAGATCCTCCTTGAGACGCATATCGCCGTGTCCATAATCCGAATCCAAATGCCCATGACGAAAGCGATCCATCAACTTGGGGCTCTGCTCAATGCTGCCTGCACCACCAGCAAACAAATTGAAACCACATAACAAGTATATCAATATTATACACAAAATCAATGCTCAATAATTGTGACTCACTGTAGGAACCGGATTCGATGAGCACGGGCACACCGGCACGATGTCCGCCAGTTGTCACCGTCGATCCACCGGCAACGGCAACGCCACTCAGCGGCATATTCAATGGACTCGAACGATCGACAGCGGTTGAAATGATGCTCGGCTGGACAGAGGAACCGGCAGCTGCTGCTGTCGACGGCAGCGCTGTGGTTGTCGTCTTCGTTACCCCAATTTCCACTGCCTCCGCATCCACATGATTCAAATTCGATCTACGTGGAATGTGGACATAATATTTGTTTCTTATTTCCATTTTTTTTTTATTATTTCGCTCGTAAAATCCTCCTTTTAAACAATTTAGAATGTCTTCTAATTCTATCGGAAATCGAGACGGGACAGTTATCGATAAATGAATTAAATAAACTTGATTTCGGATAACAAAATCTGTGTTTCTTAGTCGGACATCGATTTATATCAATATTCGCGAATCGGGACAGTTATCGACAAATTAAATAAACTTGATCTCAGAATCTAAATTCAAAGTCTCTATCTTCGCGCACACTGCTAAATTGACTCGGCTTTTAATACCGAGATATATATATATTCAATGTAAAAGTACATTTAAACTATATTCTAATGGGATTAATATTCATAGACATTCTAGTCTGATGGGAGATATATAATCAATAGATATTTAATAATATTTACCCGCTGGGCGTATTGTAGTTCTTGAAAACGAACTGCGGCCCCATCCAGAGCCGGCGATGTGGCCCGGCATGGGTGATAATCTCGACCTGGGCCAACCAGCTCTCGGCCCGCTCGTCGGCCTCATCGAACTGATGGCCACTGTCCATTAGGAGGCTGGCATGGCGATCCTTGATCAGCCAATTGTCCAGCGCCAGCGGTGGTATGATTTCTTGAGATCCATCCTTGCGTCGCCCCAGATTCCACTGGGCCTTCGCCTCCACCTCCAACTCGATGGGCGTATCATCACAAATCTTCTCTTTGGCAACATCTGCAACATCAATTAGCATTCCCGATCAATCAGATATCATATATCGCACAACTATTGTACTCACTTGCGGCTAACTTCGTGTCCAGATCGTACTGGATGAGAGCACCGTGTCCGGCCATCACGAACAGTGAATCGACCGCCTTGCGCTGGACGCGATGCGGTGCCTCACGTGTCGCCGTTGGCGGCTCCAGCAGCCACGAACGCGACTTGGCGAAGGTGGCACAAACGCTCAACGGTTTGCCACTGTCATCCGATAGGGAGGACAAACGTTGACGCTGATGCGAACCGATGCCATGATGGCTGCCGCCGCTCGAATGATGGCCAATACCGCCACCACTGCCGATGCCGCCAACGCCACCACCGCCGCCGCTGCCGACGCCACCAACAACGCCACCCAATGTGGCGCTGCCTGGCGGCGAGCCGAGGGTAAACGGTTGACGGAGTTGCGCCAACGGCTGAATAACAGCTGGTCGTGGAAATGGGGGCAGAGTGGGATTATGATACGGCTGCAACGATTGCACAAACGTTGTGCTCTCTGAATGCGAGATCGGCGAACTGGAGCGTCCATCGGCGCCGAGGCCGGCGCTGCGATGGAAACGCGACAGCTTATTGACCACATGCAGGGAGGTGTGCGTTCGTACGCCCATCGCACCGCCATACGGTGTTATGGGGAAGACGTGGGTGGTGCCGCGCAACGTGGAAACGGCCGCCCAGCGTGAGTCCAGCGAGAATGCAATATGCTGCACTTTGGCACTCGTATCGCCCCGATGCAGCACATACAGATGATGCACTGCCGCCAAACTGGATCCGACCGGATGCGGTTGGATGCGAAACACATGAAAATCATGTCCACGACGATCTGCCGTCAACAGCAGCATGCCCGAGCTATCGAATTCCATGGCGACCAGTGCCTCACTGTGTGCCACAAAGTGGGCAACAATCGGATCGATAATGGAGCCAATCGGTGTGCCCGTCGTCGGGCTATAATCCTTGACGGTGTGCTATGCAATGGAATAGTTGATATATATATATATATATATATATATATATGTATATATATACGTTAAGTTGATGACTTACCTTGATATCGATAATGGTAACCACGCCCGATTGTTTGGCATCGGCGCCTCCCGTTGCTGAATCGAAACTGCCACTTTTGGAGCTATTGCCACTGCCGGTGCCGGTTAAACCGGCTGCGACCTGTTCACCCAACTCACGGAGACCCTTGCCAAACGATTTGGCTGCGTTTAGCACCGTTGCCGTATAGCTGGGAACACCCTCGCCGTCGCAACCGCCACCGCTGCGCTTCGATTGGAGCAACTTGTGCTCCGCATATGCCAGCCAGCGTGGTCCAAGTGCAATCGGATTCGGATTGATGCTGGGCATTAGATGGGCGATAGAGATCAAGGATTAGATTAAGCCAAAACTATATTTCCTCCTGGGTTGAGGTCTTCTTTGTCTCTGAAATTCATAACATGTATCCCAAGGAAGCTGCATCTTCTTCTAGTTAAGGCACATTCGATACATTCTGCTAGGATGTGCATCGAGGATTCGTCCTCTCTTTCACAAAACCTGCACAGTTCGCTACTTTATATACCTAGTTTCGTTAGGTGTCTCCCATTTAAAATCAAATTTAAAAAATTGAATCATCAACTTAAAGAAGAATCTTTCCTTCTTTATCTTCTCGTATCCAGATGCAACTTAAGTAAATCGATACATCAAATATATTTGGGTGCACTTACCCGGGACTGGGAAAGCAGGTGGTAATTGTTAGTCGATCCTCGAGGGTGCGTGCATCGAAGACGGCGAGACGCTCATGGAAACTGATGACGACCGCCGATCGATTGGCTTGGATGTCCAGCACGGCATTCTTGAACTTGATCGTTTTCACCTGGGCGCCCGTCTTCAGTGACATAAAATTGACGGCACTAAAATGCGCCGAGGACGCAGTCGATGAATGACCAAATCCGCCACCGCCGCCGCCGCCACCAGCCAAACCGGAGCCTGAACCGCCAGAGATGTGATGATGACCACCGCCGGATATTAGGCCACTGACCGCAGCACTGCCGCCATCGACAAGGGCAACCAGTGGACGTTTCTCGGCAAAAGCATCGACCGGCTCATCGGCCCGTCCATTGTCATCCAAGGCACTGGCCGCCGTCGCCGGTGTGGGGAGGACACGGAGGGCGGTGACGACACCGTGACGCCACGATAGAACCTCAACAGCCTCTCCATTGGCCGGAATGGCCCACACCTGAACACCGAGGCCATAGCCAAGGATCAAAAGGAGCGGCGGTGCAGCGTTCCCCTCCAGTTCCCAATCATCGCCGAAACGTGGATCGCTGACATCGGCACTCGTCTCGAATCGTGCCCACGTTATGGTATCCTTGGGATCCTGCACCGGCTGATGCACCAGCGTCACATCATTTATGAATCCAATTGCCGAATCCAAGATCGAGCGATCGCTGACTGCTTGTGGCGGCACAATAGCCGGCATGCCACCGCTGCCGCCAACACCTGCACCACCTCCACCACCAGCACCACCACTGCTCCCTCCGCTGCCGCCAGACGACGATTGATGATGATGATGTTGATGATGGCTGTGTTGGTGGCGGCGTGGCGAATCTGCGGACATTATGTGATTCTTCTGCCCTGCTTTGGAGCCGACGACGACGACGACGTCTCAGCTGCTCCGTTCACGTTAAGGCAAAGAGAGCTGGAGTGAGCGATGCGCTCTCTCGCTCGCACAGCTGCTGCAGACGACGGAGACAGGCTGTCTGTCTGTGTGGCAACGCTGCGCTGCCTCAAACGATGTCTTTGCGTATGTGTGTATGTATATGTGTATGTGTGTCAGCCAGCTGTTGTCAACTGCAAAATAGGAAGCAGAAAAATAAATAAACAAACTGCAAGCACTCTCTCTCTCTCTCTCTCTTTGTCTATCATCACTCTCGCAATCAGTGTTGCCAATTGTGGTGTGTTGTGCAGTTGGCTTCTTTTCTTTGTCATTTTTATTTAATCAAGTTATATGCTTACTTGATAAATTATTTATAGGTATCTGAATAACCAGTTTAATTGCGAATTTTAAACATAACAAAAATTGAGAAATGGAGTAGCTAAAAGCATATTTAACAAGCACTAAGAATTCCGATGGTACCAGTAGTAGTGAAAATAGCAATGACAGTGAAAAGGGATATTTTAAACACAAAATATATCTTATAAATATAATAAAAACAAATATAAAAAAAAGAGTTTAAATATAAATAAATATGAAAAGCACTTAAATCTCACTCGAAAATAAGATTTAGCTCTTTTTTTTACTTTATTTGGCCGCTGGCTAAGATGCGCTTTTTATGCTTCTCAACATATAGTTGGCAACACTGACTGCGCTCTCTCTCTCTCTCTGTCTTTCTTGCTCTCTCGTACTGTGGCATTTGCAATTCCATTCGTTTGTGCTTTGTCTCAATCAAATGCTTTTAATCTTTGCACACTCGTGCCAGGCCCGCCCCCTTCTCCTTACCACGCCTCCGCACGGTCCGCGCACCCCTTCTTTTAAGTTTTATTAGCACATTACGTGTTTTATTTTTTGCTTCACTCTTTGCACACACACACGCACAAACATTTGCAAAAGGGGCGACAGCAATTCCATGGGGCGTAAATTAAGTGCAATAAAACAATATGTACAAACGCACACACACAGAAAGAATTATAGTGTGCGCCACGCAATTGAACACCGAAATGTATTTATATTAATAAACAACGTAAATAGCAGCAGGCGGCTGAAGTAAACAGTAAACTAACTAAGCTCATTTGGTAAACAAATTTTTGTAACGTGTTTTTTGCTTTTGCTATTACTGTAAATATAAAACAACAACAATAGTTATCATCATCAGACCATCAGCAGAAGTTGAAGCAACAACGGCAAAAGAAACCAAACAAGCACAAAAGCAAAAGCAACGGCAACAAAAACTCAAAGCCAAGCTTTCAACCTAGAGCGGGAGAGAGAGAGACCAACAGCTGTGCGCAACGAATGCAAAGTAGCAAAGAGTAACATTAACCCGTGCGCGGTCCGCTCGTTTGTTTTAGCCCCAGAAGCGAACTTCTTAAAGAGGGGTTAAATATTGTATGATAAAATTTATTATTTGCGCTATAAATTTGGTTTTAGCATGATTTGCTGCAAAAGTAAAAGACAAACTCGTTTGTCGATTGACATGACTAGTATACATACATAAGTAAATGGGCAACAATGAAATACATACATACATGTACATACATGTATGTATATGTATATGAGATAATCGAACAAGCCACAGATCAGCGCTGTCAAATAATACATATATATGTATATATGCGCATAACTAACAATATGTCTAAGCGATAAGTACAACTGTACATATGTATGATGTATGTAATTGTAACGTAATTGACGGGGATTGCAAATTGTGCACAACAATGGGGGTTAAGGTTAAGTAAAAAAAAAAAAAACAACTGTTTCACAAAGCGCATGACGCATTGCTAAAGTTGATTTCTATTTGTGGCTCTTTGTTTTGAAGCAACGGTTAAACGGTGAGGACAGAAAGAGGGAGACAGAGGAGAGTCGAGAAGCGACGTTGCATTCCGTAATTGACTTGCGCACACGCGCAACAGCGACGACAGCGACAATAGCAACAGTTACTAAAAGCAATGTCACAACCATACACACACACACACACATACACATACATACACATTCCCTCCACCCACCGATAAACGCATTTTGTCTTTGTTTTGCAATAGGCAACAAAGCAAAACAAAACAACAGCAGAAGCAATCGCTGTACGTTTTGTGCGAGACGTGTGTTTATATGTGTGTATGTGTAAATTGGTGTGTCAATGTTAATAAGCCAGCTAGCTAGTCAGCATGTTAAGCCAATGGTTCCATTCCGTTCGTTCGTTCGATTTCTTTGTCCACACGCAAAAAAAAAACAAAAACAACTCATGTGTGTGTGTGTGTGTGTTAGTATGTTATTGTTTATGCTGTTCATTGCCAAAGCCACTTGACAAAAATCGACGCCAAGCGCTGGACAAAGAAAATCACAACAAAACGCAAAGCAGACACACACACACACATACACGCAATATGTTGTGAACAGGTGTTACTGAAAATACTCACACACACACAGTAATTTCAAAATCGCACGCAATTTACTGCAAGAGACATAGTGCGAAAGAACAGAGAGCGAGAGAGTGAGAGTCGCAATAATCAAGCACCGCATGCAATTTGAAGCCAATTAAATGCACACTTTTGTCCTACTGTGTGGTGCTCAGCATGGGCAAGGGAACGAGCGGGTGGTGGTGGTGGTTTGATTAAATATCAATGCGTCATAGGAGAAATATGCCATAATTGAATTGCTAATCAAACGTTGAAGGTCCTTTGTCGGATTAAATTGAATTTAATCGAATAATCAATATGTGCGTTGCGAAATTGAGAAATTGCCACAGCCTTCGAAATAATTACTAAATCGTCACATGTCCTTGCAAAGAATCGATAACAAATTAGTTCTCGATATGTTGGACTTATTTAGTAAGGCAATCACAATATCTATCAGACACAGCAGCTGAAGCATTATTAAAGAAAAATACATTTCTTTTGATTCGTAATGCACATCAATCATATCAAAATGATAAAGCTGAAAGCTCCAAATTTGTAAGCTAATTTTGTTCGATTTTTAGCAAATCGATATATAAATGTAGTTGAAAAAAAAATACTATAACAAAACAAACTACATTTTTGAAGAGTGTAGTTTGGAATGATATGCTTAATTTCAAATTCTCAGCTTGCTGGGTTAGTTAGAACTGATAATCAAGTGGTTTCGTTAGGTTTTCAGAACACGTACAAATCACAAATGCCAAGAATGCAAAAATACTCGTTTTTTTTTTTTTTAAGGAACGTGCACAAATACAGATGCGCAGGTGTACGCATACTTATGCATTTGAGTGTAGCAGGACTGTAAGAAATTGGCAACGAGATGGTTTATGTTTATTCTATTTATTTATTTTTTTTCTTTCTTGCCCATTCATGCGCAGCTACTCAGAAAAATATTTGGCAAACATATTTACAGGCAATTTTAAACATTTCCTCAGGCAGGTAGGTGCGGGGAGCGAGGACAGTTTTGAGATTAGGGGAGGAGTAGGGAGATCTTTACGCTTTGCACTTTTCAATATCAAACAAATATAAAGGATGAATCTCTTGTCAAAAATTGTGTCAATGCATTTTTGTGTCTATCTTTGTTAAGCTGCTGCATCTACTAATTCAATTGCTTTATTTTTAGTTGCTGCTGCTAATATATATATGATATATATAAATAAATATATATTTTTTTGGAAACAAAGACCCCCACAGCCCAAAAGCAATTATCAAAATAAGCAAAACAAGAAAACAAAAAAAAAAACACACATACACATACAACAAAAATAACAAATAACAACGGTCAGCTGCAACGAAAATGTTGTTTTCTGCTCTTCACTTTTGTCTCCTATCGCGCTCTATTTCTCGCTCTCTCTCTCTGCTTAAGCTATAAGAGCGTTGAGCACAGTGGTAGAGAAGCTGCCAAGAAAGTGAACAATATGATCATATGCAGCTTCAAAATCATTGGAGGGAGAGTAAAGTGATTATTATTTTATTTATTATTATAATTACTATTTTCTTTTGAATAATTAAATTTGATTTTTTATTATGATAATAAATGCCATGTATATCATGTAGTTTTGCATATTTAATTTTGATTTCTAACTATACACACTAATGTGTAAACCACTTAAACCACGGTTCCAAAGTGTTTCACTATCAGTACGTTTCACTTAGCCGCTGTTGTTGTTGTTGGTGCTGTTGCTGTCGTTGTCTATCTAACGCGCAGTGTTTCGCTGCTTCTCTTCTGTCTTTATGTGTACGTGTGTGTGTGCGTATATGCGTTGTTTTGTGTGCACACCGATGTCGTCTGTGTATTTTTATAAGCAAAGCAAATTGCGAGAAAAACAAAATATTCACTGCTTTTACAAAATAATGTAAAAATTTGACAAAATTACTTAAATGAACAATATATACATATGTATATATATAAATTATGAAATCTTGTTATATATATGTCTATATATATTTATATGTATGTGTGTATTTTTTAAATGTGTGTATTTTTCTTTTGTGTACTTGAAATAGTTTTGAAAATAATAAACAACAAAATTGCATAAAATTCATATTTAAGTTTTTATAAGTGAATGGATGTTATTATTGTTGCGATCAAAAAAACAGGGTTAAAAAAAAGAAATAGGAACAACAACAAACTTACCACTTGACGCTGCTGCGTTGTTGTTACGACGTCAAGAAACAGTTGAGAATTGGTAGACGACGACGACAGCAGCAGCAGCAGCAGCAACACACACACACGCCTGATACTCGTTTCACTCGTGCCAGTTCCGTTCCGTTTCACTCTACTCAGTTGCTAGTTGCGAGTTATTGCTGATGATGATGATGAGGACACAGTGGAAAGAAGAAGCGGAGCACAAACAACAACACAAACAAAAATCATATGTTTTCAGTTATTGACGTCTTCTTCTTGTTGTCGTCTTCCTTTTCTTCTTTTGCTTGTTGTCTTATTGCTTTTTATTGTTGTTCTCGTTGCAGTCGGCAGCAGCAGCAACAGTAATTTGTTTGAATTTCCCTTTTTGGCTGGCAGCAACAAACAAACTGCGTCTCGAGTTCTTTGGTATCTGCACCAACCAATACAGAGACACGCCCACACACGCACACACACACACACAAGCACTAACACTTGAGAGGGCAAACACAAACTCGAGCTTAGAAACAAACTTTTAAGTGCAAAGCTCCCGCTTCAGTTTTGTTTGAATTGTGTCAAAATTACAAAAAAAAAATCAAAAATGTTGCTGTTCTCCTTCGTTGTTGTTGCTATTGCTGCTGCTGCCTCACTCGCTCCCACGCACACACGAGCAAACGAACACAGAGAAAGAGGGAGAGAGAAGGAGAGAGAGGCGGGCTGCGACGGCTGCGTCGTAAGTTCTTTTCTTTTTTCTTTGCTCTCCGTTTTCGTTTTTTGTTTTGCGTTCAGTTTCTGCCTCAGCTGCTGCTGATGGTGCTTCTGTTGTTGTTGTTGTCGTTTTTGCTGTTGCTGCTGCTTCTTGCTAGCACACAAATTAACTGCGACATTAAAATTAAATCTCTGCGTTTCGTTTTTTTTTTTGGGCTCGTATTATTAATTATTTTCAACTCTGCTCCACTCTTGTAATATTTTGCTTTTTTTTTTCCACAGTCCTGTTGTTGTTGCTGCTGCTGCTGCTGCCTATTGCGCCTATTAATCGATTTCACTTTTCTTCTGCGTTTCTACTGCTGCAGCCCAAACTGCAACACAAAAAAAAAAAAACAACGAACAAACAAAAAAATGTTAACTCTCGAACAATAGACAAGAAATGTGAATTTTTTGGGCTTTGTTGTGATGTGTTACGATTGCGATTGCGCTTGCAACTTGTCTTCTTGTATTTGGCTATTTTATAATATATTTTTTGCACACTCTTTACACAAAATTGATTGTGTGTTGTGTTGTTGTGGCGCTGTCGTCGTTGCTGTTGCTATTGCTCAAAGCGCGTCCGCACCGTTGAGCTGCGAACTATTTTCGAATTTATCGATAGCTGCTGCGACTGGAATTGTTTTCCACTTGCAATCGATAGGACCGACGATATATCGTACAATTTGAAGTCTTTAATTTTCTCGTTTCGCTGTTTGTCAGTTTTAATATTCACCTAAATAATTAATTTGTCTTATTAATGTAATTAAATTCCTAAACTCTAATAAAAAGAGGAAAAGAATGATATAGAATTCAAAATGAAGCAAAGTGCGATTATTATGCATATGCTGATCGAGTTTATGCAATTTGTTCATCTTTAAAATCGATTGTCACTATCGATAAGGAGCGCAAGAAAATCCAATTAATTCCATTTTAGAATTTCAATTCTTTGTGCAATTTAGTTTTGTTTTTATTTCATTATATTTTGCATAAATTGCCTAAATAACATATAACAATTACAAATAAACTTGAGTATTATCTTAGAGCAGATATCGTTTCATTCTATCAGTGTTTTGAAATTGCCTATATTTAGCGGGACACTTTTAAGTGTTGAGTATAACATTTAAGTCGAGAGTGCTGGAAAATACAATAGTTGTTTGTATTTGAACTTCGCGCCATGATAGCAAAAAAATTATTGTATATACCATATCTTAGGTTTAATAATTTGTATAAGAGTGTTTTAAGAAAATATTCGAAGCGTTTATGCTAAAATACTGAGCTTACGGGTTTAATTTGGGTTTAAGGTTTGCTTTGCTTGCATCTAGATAATTCTGATTTTTTTTTGAAGCTGTATTAATTTTTCTAATCATTATTTTTATATAAAACTCAAAAGGAGTTGATGGAGTGATTTGAAAAGTGTTATACTGGCGCCTGGAATGGGTCACACTCTGCAAGGACCGTCAATGTTAATAACAGGGAGCGTCTCTCAGCTGCGAGAGTTCCGGGATGTTGGTTAACATTAACAGTGCTATTAAAATGCCAAACATATGTTATTATCCTCTAACAGCTGTAATTGGCAATGTTCTCAATTCCAATTGCGTCCTTAAAGCGTTTCAGTTAATTTAAGCCACTAAACAAATTGAAAAGTGAACGAAATTTGCTGCAAACGCAACAGTAAAATGTAATTGCTAAAGCGAACGAAACGAGTAACTAAGCTCGCTGCAGTTAAATTGAGTTAATGCAATGCAGACCACTGTGCAACGCTGTAAACGGGAACATGGCCGATAAACAAGCATTCTGATTGGGTTTGTTGTCCATGCGTTCTCATTGCCAGTTGGACGGCGTAAGAGTTAACGTCAGTAGGCAGCAAGACGTAGACGACAATGGTTGTGTTTTTTTGTTGTTACGTGAACGTTGACTTTATTTATGCATAATAATATTATTATTAATAATAATCACTTTTTTTTGCGTTTTTTTTTGTGTGCGTGTGCGACAAACAACAATCGGAACAACAATTATGCAAATCACAAATTAATAATAAAATGTTAGTGCAAAGTGTACCGTCAATTTGTTTATCGAAAATTACAAAAGATAATTAAAATAATTACGACGAAAACAACAACAGCAAACAACAACAACAACAACAGTACAACGTAAATATAATAAATATTATTTCGTGCGGCATTTTTGTTGTAGTTTAACGTTTCCCATGCTCGTTTCTTGTTATGGTTTTTGGTTTGCGTTAACGTTTACTTTTACGTTGTTGTACACAATTACGTTATGTTGCCTTCACTTGCAATTGTGCAGCTTTTGGGCAATTCCAATTAGTATTTTACTAGCAGTGCTCCGAATGAAAAAATTAAGAAATTTAACAAAGCGGTGCAAAATACAACAATATAAAAAAATTGTACATGGTAGCAAGAAGCAGAAAAAGCCGCAACGCTGACGTTGACATCCACGCACACACACACACACACATACACTGCGCTCATCTCACTTGTTCTCACAAAACAAACACGCTCTCTCCGCGCGCGCGTATGTGTGTGTGTGTGTGTGTGGTAGAACGTGGTAGCTGGCAAGCAACCTAATAAGAATAAGTTAACAAACTGACGACGTGTGTTTCAGGTTCGTGTTGGGCATGGGAGAGCGGTTGGTGGGGTCAAGGGAAGCAGGACGCGAACGCTCTCTTTGCGCGCGCTCTATCTCTCTTTGCTCTCTCGCTCTGTTACGCGCTGACATTCATTGATTTTTCTGCTTTGTCATAGTGGAAGGAAGAATGTGTGTGTGTGTGTGTGTGTATTGGAGGGGGGAGGAAGGAAGGCAAAGAAGGCGAATGGGCAACCAAGGTGAACTCTGCAAGAGCCTGATGCTAGAGCAAGAGAGAGAGCGAGCTAGAGAGAGAGAGAGAGACCTGCAACGAAAAGGAAAACAAAGGGAACAAAATGACAATTCACAGTTAGCCACAATTGGAGGTTATGTTACGCTAAAGTCGAAATAAAATCGTTCATAATTTGTTGTTGTTGACACGGCTTGCGTAATTTGTTAAATGAACTCATATATCTATTTTTTTTAGTTTACTTTTTTTGTGTGTTGTTATGCGAGCAGCAAGCAAACCAGCGAAACAGAACGAGGCGAAAAACCGCCGCTTTTGGCCACCATTAGCAGCAACAGCAGCAACAATATTAACAGCAACAACAATAACAGCAACAAAGCATAACAGCAAACACAACCAGTAACTACAATAACAGCGCCAAAGAGCGCAAACAACAGCAACAGAGAGGCAGAGAGAGAGAGAGAGAGAGAGAGAAAGAGAGAAAGAGAGGGAGCGAGAACAAATAGTGGTAATATAAAAAACTCTCTGCTTCGTATAAATGTTGGTTAAAGCACAGGCTCTAATTGTTAAAGCGATAGCATTTTGTTTATCACATTTGTGATTAACACTTAGATAACATAATTGATAGCAGCTGCTCTGCTCTACTGCTCACTTTCAAGTTCAACTTGCCGCCTCAGACTGCCGATCATCTCTCTCCCTCTCGCACGCTGTACAAAAGACAAAAAAAAAAATCAACAAAAACACGTAATGCAATGCAATAACAGTTGTCCAATTGGCAAAACTTGCATGTGTGTCCAATTGGGCACACATCACCTGAACAGGAGCAGCAGCATAAGCGAACACTCTCTCTCTCTCTCGTTCGCACTTTCGAGTTTAAAGTGGTTTTGGCTCTTACACTTCACCTTGCGGCCCGCTCTTACTTTAATTGAAGTAAAGCGAAAAACCGGCCGCTTACGTGTCGCGTCAGCGTAAGCGCACTTCATTTACGTAGCGTGCCGCTGTTGATAGCGCAACTGTCGCTGCCAACCATCAACGTCGACGTCAACCGCAAAATGCGAAAAAGAAAAAATCAAACAAAAAAATGCCACGCCGATTTTTCTTCACTTTCGGTTCGATACTTGTATTTGAATGCATTTAGATTATGACGCCCGACCAACAATAGATGGCGCCCCTATATCAAATACATAAATAACGAGATCAAAATCAAAATACAAATTAACAGCAGAAATGGGGGCTACACGCAATACTCGATGAAACATTGATTGTAGTAATGATGACAGTAAATACTCGATAGTGTGAACCACAAATCGAAAATCGAAATTCTTCATTAATTTATTATTACCATTAATTTTTGGAACAACTTTAAATGGTTGCCCAGTTCTCGATTTTGTTTTAATATTAAAATACATATTCAAAATAATTCCAAGCTCAATTTTAAACTTATTAGAATAAATGTATTTCAAATAACTTGTTTAAAATGGGAATGAGAAAAATAATTGTTGGGTTATTATTGGGTATCTTTATGGTATGCAATTTTATAGCCGAAGCGTGACGATAACTTTCTCTATATATATTAGCTAAGCTCTGTGTGAGAGTGTGTGTGAGAGAGAGAGAGAGAGAGAGAGAGAGATATCCATTATCAGTTGAATTAGAGAGCTGCAAAATGGTTCTTGATTATTATTATTATTTTTTATTTATTCGATAAACGATTAAAAAGTTACTCATTTTAAAGCATTTCTTCATTGAAAATTGGTACAATAAAGTTGTGCAAAATTATGCAAGAAGCAGATCAAGACTCCAAATTGGGAATATGGGTAAAGATTTGGATCTAGGCTATCTTCAAGCTGTCTCGAATAGAGCAAGTTGCTTTTGTTTGGAAATAAGCCAGCAAAAAAAAAGAGAAAAACTAAAATCATTTAAATTATAAAAAGAGGTCAGCAAACAATAAACAAACTAAAAGATATATTGAACGTATGCTTCAATCTATATATATATTATATTATATAAATGCATCGGCAACTTTTCTCCTTTTGACATTAAGCGATGTTCATCTCAAATAAATAAAAACTAAACAAATAACAAAATAAAGATAACAAAGAAGTATTTTTCGACTGATTGTTGCTATGGCTGCTATATGATGATATATATATATATTGTCTGCTGTAAAAAGATTTCTAGATTTCAAGTTTTATTAAGATAACTTCAAAATTGAGGTCTGCTTAGAAAGAGAAAGACAATCGTATAGAAAGACTGATCCACACATATATTTAATTTGAGTTGTATAAAATTCAAAGTATTCAGAAATATAAAAGAAATATCGGAGATCAGATATATAATCTTAGATTAAATTGGTTGTATATGATTTTTTGTAATTTTTAGTGCCACTTTTTTTTTTAACTTTAGATTATTTTAAAAGCTGAACTTGGCACATATATTTTCTTGAAGAATTTGGAGATGATGTTTTTTTTTTTATTTTATTCTAAGCATCTGCATTTTTTTTAGTAAGTAATTTTGTAAAAAATGTTACTTGTACAGGAATGCTTGCCTTACCCAAATATTTGTGTTTAAATAGATATTTATTTATTTATTTTTTCTTTAATATGTATATAAATGTTTAATTATTTGTTTACCGAGCATTTTGACCAAAACTATAGTTTTTAGATATAAATATGTATTTGTATATGTATGTATATATTATTTGACATTTTTGATTAATTTTTGCATTTGTCTCTTTCTCTTTATGTATGTCACCAAAAATACCAAAACCAAAAAATGTAATACCCAACCAAAATCCACAAAAAAAAAAAAATACAAAAAAATAATAATAATAATAATAAAATCATAACTGAAAAGTGCGCAATATAAAATTGTTTCCAAAATAATACACAAGAAAAAATATATATAACAAATAAATGTGACACAAAGGCGGCTCAATATGAGCGCCAAATGTGGCAGCCACAACAACTGCAACATCAACACAGCGGCAACAACAACTAATACAACAACAACAACAACGACAACAACAAAAAATACATCAAATTGTGTGACAACAAATTGAATCAATTTCAAGTCGCCAAAAATAGTCCCAAAAAAATTTAACGAAAAATAATAAGAAAAATAAAAAAAAAGTTCTAAAAAAAATTCAAATAATCTTTTTTGTTGTTATTTCCCAATTGCCTGGCAAAAAAAAAATACAAATTCGAAAAAAAGAATCCCAATTGTTTCTCGAAGTAAAAAGCAGCGACCCGAGCCTCCATAAAGATATATATATATAGATCAATATATATATATTTATATATTTTTGACGCATATGCATATGTATGTGTTTGTGTGCATCTGTGTATGTGTGTGTGTGCGTGTGTTTATTTCCCCTGTGCATTCCATCCATTAATCTACATATATACACACATATATATAATATATATATATATACAAATATATTTAACTCGATCTAAATGACAACAATAACAACAACAACAACAACAACAACTAATTAAATCTTGTATATGGCGCACATGCAAATCTGATAACAACAATATAAAATAAATTCATAAATAAATAACAATCATCATCAATCGATAATCAAACCAATCAACTAACAACAACAATCGACTCCAAAAATACAAAATGGCGGACATCATGCGTCCGCCGTACAGCGATATAAAGCGGCCCGACGAAATTGTCAGAATGACAACCGCCGATAATTTGAAATTCGCCGTACTCATCGGCCTCATCGAGGTTGGCCAGGTGACCAATCGGGAGGTGGTCAACACCGTGTTACATTTGGTAAGTGTCAGCCTGCAAAATATTCAAAATCTTTCCAATCGATTATCGATTGCATTCAGTTATCGATAGCAATCACTCGAAACTTGAAGCGCATCTCAAGCAGCTTATCTTAGACTCAAACCTACAAAATGTTTCGATTTTAGCTCATTTTTTTTTGCGTAAGAAGAACGCAAGGACAATTTCAAATATTGTATTTTGAGTGCCAAGAAAAATGGCTGTTTTTTTGCTTCCTTTTTTTTTTTTTTAATAAATATGGTTGCTGGCTCTTAAAAAAGTATTGATTGATGCCAACAAAATTGCATTTCAAAGAGTTTGTCTTCGATTTCAATGCTTAGAGTGGTGTTGCTATCATAATGAAATATATTTTCTAATTACACAGATATAAACATATATATGAATATATATATATGTATATTTTCCCCTAATGATTTCCATCTGTTTTCAGCTTGAAACGAACCACATTTTCAAATCCAAATCATATGTCAGTTCCGGTAAAGATTACGTATTGATTTGTATAGTTTTTTTTGTATTTTTTTTTTTGCTAATCGAATTAATAAAATCGATTGACAATACATTTTCCGCTGTGTGATAATTCATATATATATATATATATATATATATTTATATATATGGTTGCCCTTAAATATATCCATTTATCTTCAGCTCGATATAATTTGAGAAACCTTTGGCAAGCAAAGTAAACCACACGTCAAGTTTTGTTAATTGCCCTTTTTGACACTCGGCTTAAGACCGGAGAATATTTCAAAAACTAGAGCAAATACCAAAAGGACACACACACACACACATACACACACACACACACACACACACGCACACACGAAGAAGAGGAAAAAATAACTGCAAATGGAAGTTAAAATGTGTGCGGTTATTTTTTAAGCCGTCGCACAAATCTGTGCAGCCAAAAAATCTTTTTGCACGAGACAGCGCAATTTCATTTAGACAGCCTGACAAAATGGCGTCTAAATGCCGCACACACACACACACACACAAACACACACACATACACACACACAGGCAAATAGACGCTGCTTTCATTAGCACAAAATTAACATTTTGTTAAAGCCGCAGAGCGAAAAACATCTCCGTGTGCAAAGCGCGAAGGGAGCCGGCTTACCTGTCTATGTGTGTGTGTATGTGTGTGTATGTGTGTGTGTGTGTATATGTTGTGCCTGTGCTGTGATTAGATCAAAGGCCAGCAACAGCCTACTCCTGGCCCTTTGCCACCCGCTCACTCTCCTTGAAGACAATATGCCTGCCTGCATATTGTATTATTACACGACATTATTATTATTAGTGAAGATTTTCAAATTTACATTTTTGGATGGGTGGTGGCTGTGTAGCTGAGTTACCTAAATATGTGTGTGTGTGTCTGTGTGTGTGTGTGTGTGTGTGTGTGTGTGTGTTCGTTCGTTCGTTGGTTTCTTAATGAAAACACGACACCGTCGCTCATCATTACTTGATTTAGGTTGAGATTCTCAAGCTCAAAAAAAAAAAATATATATAAGAATTTTACTGACGGTACCTTGACAGGTGAGCGCTGGGTGTGTGTGTGTGTGTGCCTGTGTGTGTGTGTGTATGAGTAAGAAATTCTGGGTAGGTAAGAAATTGAAAAGAAATTGAATTGAAGTTTGTTCGTCGGCGTTCATTGATAAGATAGGCGAAGGTAAACAGAGATATACATAAATATATATATATATATATAATTTATATAGGTAGTGCGCATAGCTACATATACTCATACATATGTATATATATCTTATGCACACATGTATGTATATCAATATATGCTATGTGCTCTTTCCACCTGATTATGCGGCACGGCAATATCTGATAAGCGTCGAATCAAAAAAAAAAAAAATACAAAAAATAAATAAAAATAAACCAGAAATTAATAAAAGTGTTGACGTGTTCAAACCACAAAAAAATAAATAAAATAAAAATGCCATAATGTGCCGCAGCTTAAATAAATATAAAGCAGATATTTCATATGCATTCAAAAGAATGCATAACATTCAAAATACAATAAATGTTAAAGTAGAAATTGGCAGCAATTATTTTTGGTTTAATGCCACGTCATTTATTTATGTATAATAAAAACTTAAATCTTCCCAGGGCCATACATTTTATAATTTTAAAATTCCAATTCTCCTGATTAATATTATATTTAAAGTGGGAACCTCAACAATTTCTCAGGCAAATCACTTTGTCAATAGCGACTTGATTTAATATATAAAACCAGATCTTTTTGATTAAGTTTTTACTTCTATTCAAAAACACCACCGAAAGCTGGAAGTTCCATTTGATTTTCATTTAAAATGAATACCTCAAAAATTCCCTTCTGAAAAGCGAGTAGATTTAATGAAAAAAAAAGAACTTTTTGTGGATGACCTCTAGATTTGTACTTTCGATTATTTGTTGTTATTTTGGTAACCGACCAACAATATGGATATGGTTTTTTTTTTGTTCAGTTGTATCTCTTGTCGATAAGTCAGTTGTTAGTTGCTAATTTTAATGGATGGGAAGAGCAGGGTCTGCAGTAATTTTACCCTTTTGCCGAGATAATGTGGAAGATAATCAATTATTTTGATTATGGCAATGTCATTAGGTGTTGTTGTTGTTGTTGTTGCTGCATAAATAAGCGTTGTATCTGAAACATAATCGATAATGGCGAACGAGTCCTGAAATCTGAAATATTTAAATGCTTTGAATGAGCTAAAAGCAAAGCTGAAATGCTGAAATGAAGACCCTAAAAAATCAATACCTATTACAAAGTAATAAAAATGGAAATATTTTTGGAGCTGTGTGTACTTAAATATACACTAGATAATATCTATATTTGCAGGCACTTTCCATATTTTTTGAATATCCTCTAATCATTGAAAATGTGCAAATGGGGTAACATCAAGTTGGGCTTCAGTATGTAACAGGCAGTAGGAAGTAAATTAAGTGGAATGACTGTCTGTCTGACACTTGTTTCTTGCTCATTTCATCGATAACTCCTTCCATTTTGCGTTTATCGATATAAATCGTTTTCCGATAGCAATAAAAACTCACATTTTAAAGCTATATTTTTTTTTAGTGAGCATGTATATGAGTTGATAAAATATTGATTAATGGAAAATATGTAAGAAAATCGTATTTTCATATTACATGTGTTTGTGTGCAGGGTATCCACTAGCCGAGCTCTTGCGACTTGTGTCTTTTCATTTGTTTTTTTCTTGCTTTTCTGGTTTATTTTTTTTTTTTTGCATAAAGGATGCATAAAAATTTTCAAATGCAGTCATTAAAATTATATATGCCTATAGAGATGTGTATCGCAATGTGTGTGAATGTTGTGTGTGTGTTGTGTGTGTGCTGTGTGTGTGTTGTGTGTGTGTTGTGTGTGTGTTTATGCTTCTGTTTGCTTGTTTGTATGTGCTGTAATAGCAAAACCAAACAAACAAACACACACACACAGACAGAGCGACAGAGAGAGAGAGAGAGTGGTGTGAATACAGATATATATATACATATATATATATATATATAGAGAGAGAGAGGGGGTTTAGAAAATCTGGGCACCGGATCCATAGCTGAAGCAAACAAATTGAAAATTATTTTTTGGTCGCCTCTTGTTGACTTAATTTTGCATTCAGCTCTTTTTTTTTGTTTTTTGTTTTATGTTTTTGTTTTTGTTTTTTTGTTTTTTGTTTTTATGTTTGTTGTTGTCGATTTGCATTAAGTGTTTATTTTTAGTAGGCAAAAATGTTCAGCTAACGACAAAAGATTGGCAGGCAAATCGATTAAAGGCATTTCGGGTACCCATTCCCCAACACACTCATAGATGGTGGGTGGTGTTGGTGTTGGTGTAAGTGAGGTCTAAGGGTGAACTCTCAATAGGTAATGGGGGGGCCGGAGGAGGAGTACCACATGCGCCGCATGGCAAATGACCATAATTGAGCTGTATAGCAAGGCCCAATGACCGATTAAGCGACCAAAACCAACTTCCGAGAGCTGATCCCGCAACACCACCGGGGGGGCGGAGGATTTGAAGGATAGAGGATTGAGGGTTGGGGTTGGGGTCGTTGCTGGGGAATTGGTGTTGAGTTATGGTGCTCGGAATGGCTATGAATCAATCAACAGCAACAGCAACAACAGCGTGCGCCAAGTTGAGAGAAACGAATCAATTTGCATTAAAAAGCCGAAGCACAGCCTGAAGAAGAAATGAAAGAGGACAGCCCCATCAAAAGTACACGGTGAGAAGCAGAAGAAGAACAGCAAAGCAACAGCAAAGCAACAGCAAAGCAACAGCAAAAACAGCAACAAAAAAAAAAAACACAAAAAAAAAACAAAATTGTAGATCAAAAGAAATTAGGAGGAAATTACAAATATTAAAGCGTATGGCTTTGACCAGTGTTGAGTAATTCCCCGAAATGTGCCTCGAATTGCGCAAATAATCTGTGAAGCATATTTCAAAAATTCAGTTATTTATTTAATTTTAATTTCTCGGTAGTATTGGCTAGAGACGATAGCTGCTTAAAAATATTCCATTATCTTTTTTTTTGTTATATTGGCATTTATTTTAAAGCGCTTTCTAATTTATATTTAATTTGCCAATTATAAAAAATATTTAATATTGTGCATATTTTATTGATCAGCCCTAGAAGTCGAGTCGATATACCTATTTAATTAAATTTAATCGATAATTGGCCACGTTTCGTTAATATCGATACAAATCTATTGCCGATAGCAATAAAAGACACAATCCTAAAGATATACCCTGGCAATTAATAAACAAAATGTATATATATATATTATTATTGATCAAGTAAAAGCTTTTGTTAAACGAAACATATTTAATAATTGAGCAAATTACAATTAGAAGCTAGCTCCAGGTTGGTGCTCCTAGTGCACTTGGCTTGACTAGAGAATTCTCGCTTGTCTTTTCACGACTCTATATATGTATTTATTTTAATATAAATACATATGTATTCACGACT